GGATTCCTATTTGAAGAATTAGATCGACAACATGGGAGAAACAAGCACATCGGGATTGTCTCTTTCGAAGGCGATACAAAGTCTGAGCATCAATAACACGAAGATTAATGTTCCGAAGTTCGACGGCAAGATTAATTTCGGATTGTGGAGGTGTCAGGTGATGGACGCCTTGGATGCTCAGAATTTGGAGGAGACTCTTGTGTTACAAGAGAAAGCTGTCGAGATGGAAGCTAAGGTTTGGAAGAAGATGAATAGTAGGGCGTGTGGAGTTATTCGGTCATGCTTGACGCCGGATCTTATTTATGATGTGATGAACGAGACGTCGGCGAAGAAGATGTGGGAAACACTCAATGAAAAGTATCTTACTAAGAGCATTGAGAATCAGCTTCACTTGAAGAAAAGATTTTACCAGTTCAAGATGAAGAGGGGAGTTTCCATTAGAGAGCATGTTAACAACTTCACAAAGCTACTTTTAGACATGGCCAATGTGGATATCACGGTTAAGGATGAAGACAAGGCGATGCTACTTTTGTGTTCATTACCCGAGGATGATTATGGTACTTTTGTCCTAACTATGATTAATGGAAGAACTATTGTTAGTTACAAGAATGTGACCTCAGCGTTAGTGAATTATGAGTTGAGGAAGAGTGTGCATGAGTCCTCCGAGAAGGCATCGGGAGATGCATTAGTAGTTCATGGCTGTGGTTCAAACCGAAGCAGGAGGTCGCAGTCTAGAGGTGCACATCGTGGGATTAGTAGGAATCAGTGTGCCTTTTGTAAAGAGGATGGACATTGGAAAGCCGAATGCCCAAAGTTAGATCGAGCCGAAAAGAATAAGGGGAAAGCTGTACAAGCTTCAGAGGTAAATGTTATCAAGACTAGTGGCAACAATTCAGATTCGGATTCTTCGGGCTATTCGTTGTCTGCACTACCGCCAGTTTCTGTTGCCAACTCTACAGAGTGGATGTTGGATTCAGGTGCTTCATACCACGTTTGCCCTAGGAGGGATTGGTTATCCAGCTTTCAGAAGTTGGAAAGAGAGGATGTTATGCTCATGGGTAATAGACATGCATGCTCTATTGGTGGTATTGGTACCGTTCGTATTCAAATGTATGGCGGAGTGATTCAGGAGTTGGATGAAGTGAGGTTCGTTCCGCGGTTGTCGAAGAACATCATTTCACTAGGAGCTTTGGTGGCATTTGGCTATAAAGTAACCTTGGTGGATGCACGTTTGAAGGTCACATTGGGGTCCATGATTGTGATGAAGGGCGTCAGAAGGAGCAATTTATATTATTTGCTCGGAAGCACGGTGATTGATAGGGAGATGACGACTTCATCAGATTCGGCTAGACTGTGACGTTGTTTGATGCTGGGTTATTTGATTAGTAATGTCGTGCATAGGTTGTTAAGGGGTGCTTTGACCTGAAGTTTGAAGTCCTGTGAACCCATTGGTATGAGCAAGAAGACCGAGGTGGAGTTTGGTACTTCTATCCATCATTCGAGGGGTCTTCTGAGGGGTGTTCATTCAGGCATTCGGGGGCCTTCCAAGGGAGCATTATTGGGAGGTAATAAATATATGGTTTCCGCAGTTAGGGATTGCTCTAGGCATTGGTGGGTTGTAACCAAGTTCCGTTGGTGTGAAGTCCTAGAAGCCCGCAACAGATGGAGGAAGTGTGTTAGTATAAAGGTAACCCGACGTTCTGATTATGGTAGGGGTTCTTTCTTGCGTTTGTACCGAGTTCACGGCAATTGGAGACACTTCATTGGTGTGGAAACTTTGAGGCGACGTGATGAGATGACAGATTTGGGGAGCTGTTCCTTTCTGGAGGAGGATCGGCGTTTGATGCCGAGCATTGGCATTGGTGTGCGGGCTACGACATGTTTGGGCCATCTTATGTATAGGTTGTCGACTGCTACATGTAGAGATATGGGATATGATGGAGCTGCTTCAGATTTTGGGTTACGTCGGATGTTTGGCTACCCAGCACTTGGTCACATCGTGGATGTGAGATTTGATCTGATAACACATTTGGGATTCAGAGGCGTGTTTAATTATCAGGTATTGGCTTCTGACTTTGTTCTGAACAGGTATGTCACGTTTAACTCTCGACAGATGGAGGGTGGTGATCAGATCATTAGGACATCATAGCAATTGGAGAGTAATGCTACTCCACGTTGGGTGGAGACTCCAGATCATACTGCATCATTTGGGATTCCAGCTGATGTGACACAGATTGGGAATCATGTTGTTTTGGATGCAGATGATAGGTTGATTGATTCGAATGCAGCTGATAGATGTAGTCTAGACATGGCCATTGGTTCATCTCAGGTGGAGGTGTTTGGATTGTTTCAGTTTAGGGCCATTGGAGGTGCTATCAACCGCAGACTTGATCGTGATATTGGAGAAGGGTTGCAAACTCTTCTATTGGATTGAGGTCGTTAGCGACCATTTGATGAACTACGTGCGGCTTGATCCCTTGGGAGAGGAGGTACGTAGGCAACCACATTGGTGCAGCCGAATTTGGTAAGACGACACATTAGTGTTCATATTGGTGCCGGCTCAGTTTTGGGAAAACTTCACCGAGGTGGAGAATTGTGAACGTGGGAGGGCCCACCAACATCACAATCACGCAGAGTAGCAAAGTTCACCCTAGTGTGAACACGGAAGTTCACGCGGACAATTTCGCGGCCCACCCGATTGTCCGCTGTGCTATATATATTCCTTAGGTTTTCTTTTGGGAAGTGTGCAGGGAGTTGTTTGCGGCTGCAGTGCAATTGCGTGCAAGGGTGCAAGGCTGATTTGTTGCGGCTACGGCAGAAAATCACAGCAGGAGGTTGGTGCTTGGTTTTTGCGGCTGCAGAGGAGAACGGCGTGCGAAAGCAGAGAGTTCTTTTGGTTTTGAGCAGCCCCCTTTATTGAGGGTTTTGTGCATCCTTTTGTAGAGAGATTGTGTGAAATGTTTGAGAGTTTGTGTGAGGGTTTAGATTGAGTGATTGTAAACCTTAGTTGTATCTCTCCCTCTAATAGTAGATCTCCCCCCTCCTTGCCCCGTGGACGTAAGCTATTTGCCGAACCACGTAAAAATTTGTGTTATTACCGTGATTTGTAATAGCTTGTAGGATCTCTCAACAGGTCAGTCCTAGAACTGATGAGAGGAAGAGCCGATATCTCATTTGTAATAGCTTGTAGGATCTCTCAACAGGTCAGTCCTAGAACTGATGAGAGGAAGAGCCGATATCTCACTTTGTTGAGATATCCGTTTCAGATTGAACTGATGAGAGGAAGAGCCGATATCTCACTTTGTTGAGATATCCGTTTCAGATTCTTGTTTCCTTGGCGAGACAGGAATTCTTACGATCTAATCTCTTATTGTGCACCTTGCGCACTGGAGGTGCTGCCGAAATTTCCGCTGCGCACAACAGCTTACCCTTTAGTTTATTATATCTTTGCATTTTTTCTTGTAGTTTTTAAAATCATATATTTTGTTTCAAATCATATCGAATGTTTGAAGATAAGTTGTATATCAGACTCTCATCGATAATCGGTTCCTCTAGCACCAACTTCCATAACTTTATTGATTGTAGTACATGCCAAAGGAACCAATAAAGTCTTGTTATGTGGATTTACTTACTCGCTGAGTAAATTCCATGACTAACTCAGCTAATAGACATAGATATTGCCCCTACCTTAGGTAAAGATACCTCGTACTTTTACCTCCACTCGGTACTGTCAAACTTGCTTGAGGAATCCTATTCTCTAAAACCACCTTTCTATCTTTGATAACTCTGAAGCAAACCTTTGTATGTCAAAATTAAAAAGAAAAATTCCTCAAGGACCCAAAATATGGGACCAATAGAGGGGACAAGTGAGGTGTCTCCCTTCTATTGGATAATAAGTTGGCCATCATTAATGATGGCCAACTCATTATCCAATATGAGAGAGACACCTCACTTGTCCCCTCTATTGGTCCCATATTTTAGGTCCCTGTAGCAAAACTCAATTAAAAAAGTATAAAGTTTGTCACAACAAAGTGTCAAAAAATATGGAATTAGTAGATTTGAAGGCGTAAAATGGAATACTGTAGATTTTGGTCATCGAGGGATTAATGGTCAATTTCAAAGATATAGGGAATTAATATTGAATTGAGGGACTAATATGAAATGATTTTAGATTTAAGGGACTAATATGTAATATCCATCTTTATTTGAGACTAAAGATGTATGGTTTTTACTTTTGATCCTATAATCAGAGTCTGATAGCATTTCAAGTCTAGGCGGTTGTGGATGCTGATGTGGGCCCATTCAAGTAGTAGAAAGAAGCACGTGGTCTAAGGGGCTGTTTGGATAGTTTGTTTTGGGTGGTAAAAGAAGAGAAAGCTGTCAAAAATGTTAGTTTTTTGGCAGCTTTCCCTTAAAATCACCTTTTTAAGGGGTGATTTTGGGGTAAAGCTGCCAAAAAGCTGATATTTTTGACAGCTTTTCCCATTTTTACCACCCAAAAAAAAGAACCAAATAGCCCCTAAGAGGTGTGGGCCCCATTCAAGTAGGAGAAGCAGGTCGAAAGAAGCAGGTGAGCGAACACTAGTACAAAACTGGCCTGCCCAAACGGTTGGAACCGTTTGGGAAAACCCCCTCCCAAACGGTTATAACCGTTTGGACGAGAAAAAACACCCGTTTGGGCTAAAGCCATTGGGGATAACTTTTCCCCAACGGTAGCCCAAACGGGTACACCCGTTTGGAACTAGTCCCAAACGGTTGAACCCGTTTGGAACTTGTCCCAAACGGGTATACCCGTTTGGGAAACATATTTGGCCAAACGGGTGTACCCGTTTGGCCTATTAATTTTAATATTTTTTTTCATTTCAGCTATTTTATTTATTTACCTGTTTATATACACATTTTACACAATGAATCAAAAACATATACATACACAAAAATATCTCAAGCGATGCTAAATATTTAATATTATATATAAGTACACAATAATTACTCAATATGCAATATTAGAGATAAATGCACAATAATTACTCAATATCTCACAATGAAAAGCATCCAATATTATATATTTGTCTCTAATATCCAAAATGTCTCATACATCCAAAATATAAGATAGGAATAGTCTAATTCATCCAATCAATGAACAGAAGAAATTCCTCGAAGAATATCCTCTTGGGACAAGCCCGAACGCCTTAAGTCTGCAAATATCCTAGCAATATTCTCATGTGACAAACCTTGAGCACTGGAAGTAGAAGTGTTTGCAGTCGAAGCAGGACGACCAGAATGAGGTATATCGGTAGCGGGCTGATGAATTGGAGCCGGTCGCGTAAAAGCTGATGGATCACCACGAGTGGGAGCAGAACGAGCGCCCTGAGAATTAACCTATAAAATAGTAGCAATGTATGAGTGTATACATGTCTGAGTGTTAAGTCTGTGCGTATATTTACGTGTATAAGATGTATGCATATTTGTGCCAATGTACATGTGTATGCGAGAGTGTGTATGTACCATATTGTTAGTAATCAAATGCATCTGAGACCTAAATTCCTCCCTAAGCTCCTCCCTAAGCTCCTCCCTGAGACTATCCATCTCAGCTACCCGAGCTCTAAGATCAGCCACCTCGCGACGTAGTTCCTGATTAGAAGTGTCGATTTCCGGTATGGAGGACGTCCTCAAGTAAGTCCGAGTGGCACCAATGCCCATGCCTCTTTCATAACCGCCGTGATGCCCTCCGTGCAGGGAATCTAACATCTGGGTGAAACAAAGTGCATCGTCCTCTGTGGCTGAATCGACCCCTGATAAGGTTGCCTCCTGGATGACTCGATTCTACACAATATAAAGTAGTCAACTGTAAGTCGACAATGCAAAAGTAGATATATTTAAGAAACAAATAAAAACAAAATAAAAGTAAGATTATAGCATAAAAGCAATTCTATCTTTGATATGGATTATTGCAAATGAAGTCTGGATGATTTACTAAAGGTATGATACAGAAATAAAATCAAATTGCATATATGTGACTGTGTATCTGCTGCAGATACACAGCAGTGTGTATCTGCTACAGATACACAGCAGTGTATCTGCAGATACACAGCAGATACACACTGCTGTGTATCTGCAGTGTGTATCTGCTGCAGATACACAGCAGAGTTGTTTATATTTTACTATGATTAGCAAAGGTCAATTTCGAAGAGATAGAACATAATAATCATTCATCTTATACTGCGGAAGTAACGTGAACTTGGCAATGCTTTCATCAGGAAAGACAGTTTCTGGTCATAATAGCAGGCTTTTACAATAATATTTATATATAAATATATTATAAATTAACTATGAGCATTATATATATAGTATAACATTTAAATATATATTAATATATATTATATATAAATAATATATTATATATTATATAAAGATATATAATATAAATACATATATATATATTATATTAATTAAAAATTATATATTATAATATAATATATATTATAAATAATATATATATAAATAAATAAAATTATCATAAGGAGAACAATATATTCACTTCAATGCGTAGTAAAGACGTACATTATAATATCTATAATCCTGTTCATTGGCTGTTAGTAAATACTTGCAGTAAAACTAATCTGTACGCAATTAATAATAAACTTATATTAGTAAATATATATAATATTAATAATCATTATTATTATATATATTATATATTATATATAATAATACTATTATATTATAAATTGATTATAATATATCATAATATTATATATATAACATAATTTATATGATATATTATTAATTATTATATATATATTTAGTATATGTAGATAATATATATATTAATAAAATATTATATATTTATATATATAATATATATTATATATTATATATATAATTATAATATATAAATATATAATATATATATATATATAATATCTATAATAAATTATATATAATAAGTAATTACTTATATATAAGTTTATTAATATATATATTATATATATTCCATTAATTAATAATAATATATAAATATATAATAGTATATATATAATATAATATAAATATTATAATATTCTATATATATTAATAAACTATATATATATTATATATAAATATATATATATATAATTATATATTATATATATATGAATCCTGATTATAATATATATATATAATATATATATATAGGGTTCATTGATATCTGTGCTGTGACTCCGTAGGCTGTCATCTGAGGATGCGCGATCTGGGCCGTTTATTCAAAACCCCTCAGAGAGATCTGAGCCCTTCGTTGAAAATCCCATCCCCCCAAAATCCCTACCCCTCTCTCATCTCTCCCGCCCAGATCGCGCCATCACCTCCCGCCTCCTCCTCTCCAGCGCCCGAAATCGCCGCCGGAGCTCGCCGCCCCCGATCAGCGTCGCCGCCGGCTCAAGATCGCGCATTCGGTCGCCATCACCGACCTCCTCCCCCTCACCACCGCCCGAAAGCGCCGGCGCCCAAGCTCGGCCTGTGTCTCGACGTCCCCGATCAGCGTCGCCGCCGTCCCCTTGCCCTAGCCATCACCTCCCCTCCTCCTCTCCAGCGCCCGAGATCACCGCAGCTGAGCGTCGCCGCCGGGTCATCGCCGTCTACTCGTCCTCGCCATCGAGCTCACCCCTCGTCATCAGCCACGCCTCCGACGGCATTCGAGCTCAGCCCTCAGGTTCATCGCCGCCTCCGGAGATCGATCAAGCCCTCGACGTCATCCTCGCCATCACCTCCCCCCTCCTCTCCACCTCACGAAATCGCCGCAGCCTGCGCTTGCCGTCCCCGCTCAGTGTTGCCGCCGGCTCATCGCACTTCGCCGCTGTCGAGCTCGCCTCCACCGAGGTAAGGCATCAGGTCTAAATTAACGTGTTAGTTCTAACTGAAATGCATGTTAGCTAGCTCTAAATTAACGTGTTAGTTTTAACTGAAATGCATGTTAATGCTACCGGGATGCATGTTAGCTCTAATGGAGATGATGTTAGTTCTATTACGAGGCATGTTAGTTCTAGTTGGCGTTCCTGTTAGATCTAGTGGATTTCATGATGGTTCTATCTTCCCTCATGCATATTCCTTGGATCTATCTTCTTCCTTTTAATTTCAGCTCATACATTACTTGGTTTGCAGCACTCACTCTATGGCTACGAGCCGGATAATTTAGAGCTATTTTTGCCATGTATTGTTAAATTGGATATAAACTTTAAATTTGGTTTAAACTATCGTTTAGAAATTGTTTAGTGAAATTGAAAGATCAACTTGATGACGTTTTTTGAGCGATTTTGAACTTCTTATATGTGATAATTTGATAGCTTGTATAGACACTCCACCAATTCTCTCACGTGAGGCAACAATGGAAGAAGATAAAAGCCAGGACCATGATCTACTATCTACAACATGGCTTCCCCCTCAGGTGATAATATCTTATTGTTTATAGTGTACTACTAACTAATGACATATACCAAAATAGTTGTCTTTTAGCATGAGTTTTGTTTCTCTATTTTTATAGGCATCCGAGCATGAGGAGAATGGTGATGAGCTTATGGGCGTTGAAAATGGTGAAGATAATTTAAACAGCGTTGATCCATATATCGGAATGGAGTTCTCTACTCATGAGGAAGCTTATAATTTCTACAATGCATACGCCAGACTTAAGGGATTTGGTGTTCGCAAGGGTCACACAGCTTGGTCGAGAAAGAAAGATGCAATCCTATCTAGAATATTTGTATGTGACAAAGAAGGCTTTAAATCTTTAAAAGATAAAAGAGAAGATGGTCGGAATGTAATTCGAAAGTTCGATACAAGATGTGGATGCAACGCAAGGATGGTTATTGGACTTGATAGAAGCACTGAAAAATGGGTGGTCCGAAAGTTAAACAGTAAGCATAATGGTCATCCATTAACCACCCCAACTCGGGTAAAGAAGCACTACTCACATCGGACACTTCATCGAGCTCAATCGACAAAAAGGTTGATAGATACTCTTGACAATCAAGGTTTACGGCCTTCTGCCATTTGTAAGGTTGTAGACGTTGCTCATGGCAATGAACAAGGCTCTCTCACTCAACAAGAATGCCAAGCACAACTTAGACTTAAACGAAGAAACAACGTCGGCCATGAGTGCGTGAACATAGTTCGTCAATTTCAAGAGAAAAAGGTATCTGATCCTCAATTTTACTTCGCACTTGATTTAGAAAATGATGGGACGATGAGAAGTGTTTTTTGGATGGATGGTAGGTCGAGGACTTCTTACTTGCAATTTGGAGATGTTGTTTGCTTTGATGTTACATATAGAACGAACAATTTAAAATTGCCGTTTGCACCATTTACGGGCGTTAACCATCATCGACAGTCTACTCTATTTGGGTGTGCGTTACTGGCCGATGAAACGGAGGAGACGTTTATATGGTTATTTAGCCAATGGTTAAAATGTATGTCGGGTATAGCACCAGTAACAATCATCACTGATCAAGATAAAGCTATGTGTGGTGCTATTCACAAAGTTTTTCCTAAAACTCGCCATCGCTTTTGTTCTTGGCACCTTCGTAGGAATGCCTTACAAAATCTTCAATCAATGCATAATGATTATGGTGAGGATGTTGGTGTAAAGTATAACAAATGGTATTGGAGTAAATCGGAAGAAAAATTTGAAAAGCGTTGGGAAGAAATGAGGGACAAATATGGTGCAGATAAAAGGAGTTGGTTAGTAAATTTATACAATCATCGAGATCATTGGGCTCCAGTGTATCTTAAAGACACTTTTACTGCAGGAATGACATCTACTCAGCGGAGTGAGGGAATTAATGCTTTTTTTGATCATTTTGTGAATGTAAATACCGAGTTACATGATTTTGTTAAGCAGTATGATAATGCTGTCAGAGCTCGCCGAGCCGCTGAACTTGAGCAAGATTTTAAGTCCACAAACTCAGTTCCTACATTGATAATTGAACATCCCATTGAAAAACAAGCTCGGGAGAATTATACGAAGAATCTGTTTACTATCTTTCAGAAAGAACTCAAGGATAGTTACTCCATGCTTCATGAAAAGTTGTCGAAGGACGGCGCAAGTGCTACTTATGCCGTTTGGAATATAGATAGCGAGGCTGAAAGCAAGAAGATAGTAAAGCATCATGTTGTTTTCGATACATCCAAAGAAAAAAGAATTAAGTGCTCTTGTGCGAGATTTGAGATGGAAGGTATATTATGCAAACATAGCTTGCACATTTTAGTAAAGAAGCAAGTATTAGAAATTCCATCAAGATATATCATGCAACGATGGACAATTAAAGCAAGACATGTTGGTTGCGGAGTTGTTAGAAATTGCATTACAAATAGTGAAGACCAACTATCTATCATTAAACATTGGGCCCTTAGGAGTAGATGTAACAAGGCACTAGAAGATACATTGACTTCAAGTACACTTCATGATAAGTTTAGTGCTTTTTTAGACTCATTTTTTGAAGAAGTTGAGAATTCCAAGATTGAGAAGGAACATAACGACAATGGAAATGAGAGCAATGCCAGCAATAAGATGCCTACTTCATCCATACCCATCTCTATAGAGGAAGCAACTCAAATCACTATTCGTGATCCAGATAAGCCTGTTGCCACGAAGGGACGACCAGCACATGCTACTAGAATTAAGTCGGGAGTGGAGATAGCACAAGAAAAGAGTATAAAAAAACAAAGATTTTGTGGGTTTTGTAAGGGAAAAGGACATTATATAACGAGTTGTCCTTTAGCTAAGGTATTATACTTAATCTTGATTTAATATTTTTTCAATGTCTTTGCATTTGTCATGATAAAGTTGCAATTTTTTTTGTAGAACAAAAATGTTGCTCGTGGAGGTCGAGAAAGTTAACGGCATCGCCAAAACAAAGTTTACGGAGGGCCAAAACAAAGCATGTGTTTCGGTTGAATGTTCACAATTTGATTTATTCACTTTTCCCTTAAGATTTATGTATGTATGGATGATAATGTGGTTGTATGGATTAATCATGTATGGATGAT